CTTATTCCAGGAAAATAAGAAAAGCACACTGAGAAGGGTGAATAATGCTTTCCGCACTAAGGGATTCGTGGGGTGGGGGTACAGCAATAAAACACATGCATCATTCTTCCCAGCACCTAGGACCTGATCTGAATGCTAGAACAACACACAGAAGGTAAAGGCTGTAACTTGAATGGATATCATTCCTGAAGCCATTGGAAAACATGCAGAATCTATATATACTCTTTCTCTTGCAAAAGATACATTTTAATTTTTTGGCTGGCAAGATTTTTTCTAAGCTGTTTCCCTACAACCCAGCACACAACCCTGAGAAGCGGCTGTTGGAGACCCTCTGCTGTGCTAACATACTGGCCCATCTTGCCTCAGCTTGGTAGAATAACTGGTAATGGATGTCATGTGAACCACACACCCACAAAACTGGAAGTAGAAAATTAATATGGCAGAGAAAATACTATTCTAGAAGCACAAATAATTCCTTTGGCAAGCGCAGATATAAATTACAATAGTAGAGAATATATATAGCTCAGGGTTGATTTGTTGGGTTCTTGGTGTTCTCTAAGCTTGGGTTTCTTCTTCCTTCCCATAAAGGAGTTATTTTTATGTCTGTTGAAATAATTTCTGATTTCTATTTTTGAAATAGAAATGAACCCCATTTATGAACCTTTCAGAAGGAACAACCAAATGTCAAAGAAAGAAGCAAACCGGCCCGACCATATCCTCCCTTGTCACACACCTATTAACCGACACCCAAATAAGCAGGAACCAGCACCTAATATTTGCCATAAGCGCCAAACAATAGCATGTCAATCAAAGAAGAAACAGTCCCTCCAATGAACACATATGACTCAAACCAACGGAAGCTCCTAGACTGGTAATGAAATGTCTGCCAGAAGAAAATCAAGCTTCAAGAACATTGGAAACCCAACAGATATAACTTAATTGAATTATGTCAGATGTTCTCAGGTTGAAATCTGTAGATAAGAACTGCAGGAAAGAAAATTTCCTCTTCCTGACTACATTTATTGCTGATGATCAAAGGCTCTTTGTAGATGTTCTAATTAATGATGTGCTGAAATCTGCCTTGCAATTTTTTTTGTGAAAGAGGTTCCTTTTTTTCTTTTCTCAGAATTCTTGAGAATTTCATTCAAATTTCTCTTGGTGGTGTTTTTGAGCTTATTTTATTGTTGAAGGTCGTAGTAATTGTTTCAAAGATGTCACGTGTGTCGTGCAAATGATGTGGATTATGTGATTTGCATCATTTGTGATGTTGACATGAATGATATCATTTGTCCCCCCTTTCTATGCTGCATATGCTTATATTACTGATAGTGTTATTTTTGGTTACACATTTTCCATCATTCTGAACCTCCCTGGTTGGCCACATTTCCCACAGTAAACAAGGAAAGGGGTAGGTTTTAAGGAAAACATGGGATGACAGGGAAGCCATAGATTGACAAAAATATTATTAAAATGTTTTTAATATTATTAAAATATAAATAAAATATTATTTATGCCCACCCCTCAAATACCTCATAAGTAATACATGCAAAAGCACTCCAGTCCACCCATGCAAATTTCACAGATACTTTCTTTACCTCTGAAAGCAATTTTAAACACACATTCTATGTCAGCAATTTGACTGAGATCTGGTTGGAAAAAAGTGCAGACTTTTTCTGAACAACCCTGGTTTTAATGGACATGTGTAGTTTAGGCCCAGGAACTGTGTCTTTTTCGGAACCTGCTACCCCCACTTGGCACATGTATGTGTCATCTATGATTGCACAATAAGGCTTCAGTTTCAAGCTCCATGAACTCTCCTAGTATTCACAGAAGTTTGTTTGGTCAGTAAATTATGATTATATTGATGATCCCATTTTGAAAAGGACCTTCAAAGCTGAGAGATACTATGTAAGAGAATGGCACACCTTTAAATTCCTGCACTATTTTTTAAATTGTCAGAAATGCAACTAACCCATCATATTTTCTGGACCAGTATTATTCAAATAGTGCTATAGAATTAATTATTACTATTGATAGGGAATGTATATTGAGTTTTATCTGCTTCATAATAATAACCGGTTATTGTTCTTTTTGTTCCCTTCTTCCCTCTCTCCTCCCTCTCTCCTCCCTTCCTCCCTTCCTCCCTTCCTCCCTTCCTCCCTTCCTCCCTCCCTCCCTATCTGTATACATATTCTTGGCTATTATACAGAGAATGCTGCCTTGGGAAATGAACTAACTAGACAAAACTACTGTGTAATTAAATGATGAGAACAAAGAAGAGATTTTTATCCTTTAAGAAACACAAAAGCAGATAGAATTTTGAAGTTACCAAAATATATTTGCTGCCAATGGAAGTGGAATTCATCTGATTTATTTGCTGGAAAAATGCCTGCAAGAAAGCGGGGGAAAAGCTAAGAAATTATAATGACTGCTATACCAATTTTTCATGAGATGTTGTATTTATTATAAAAAATAGGGTTTGGGAAATTCCAAATACCTTCTTTCAAAAAAAAAAAAAAGATTTGGACTGGACACACTGCAGGTAGAAGCAGCCTTGTGTCTAAGAGCAAGAGGTAGAAAATATAGTTGAGCACAGTCTGGAGGCCTGGCACTATGTAAGCCAAAGAAGAACCAAGGGAGGGGGCAGGAAGCCTGGAAGGGGGACACGGTGGCGCAGCGGCTTAATGACGCTGAAAGTTGCCGGCCAGAAATGGTCG